GGCACGGAGTCTACGGTTTGAGTTGGGTTTGAGCAAGTGAATGAAATGCTCTGGAAGTTCCGGGGGGTAAGAGGAGTTCGCAAAATGCTTATTGAGCAACAGCTAAAGAACAAATAAGAAGTAGTAGCAAACGCCACATGAAACCGACGAAATTCGGAGAGCGGATGATGGATTTGTGGAGAGGTAATTGATATGGTAGAGATAGTAGATAATAGTAGTATGTGAGACTAGTATCGTTCATACATCATATCACGTATTTTCCATGCTTCACCAAAGTCAAAAGTAGGTAGCTAGCTGTATAATAAAGAAAGGTCGATTGCGGTGGATGGAAAAGAATACGGAGTAGAAGGAGGGATGAATCGAAATTACTTGGCTTGAATAGTCCAGAGGAGAGTAACCCTGGAGGAAAATAACAAGAAAGAATTCCCGCAAAACAGATGATTGATTTGTCCTCTTGGATGGTTGTTGACAAGAGAGAGCAAGGGAGTGTCCGAATGCTGCAAGTACATAGGGAGAGGTACGAGTAGGTACTAGACAGATCGGTAGGTAGAGAATACCTAGGCACACCTGAATGTAAACTCAAACCCGAGGATTGCATTGGATTGAGACGAGGAGGGAAATATCAAAAATGTTCATACTCATGCTCATTCATGCTCACTGATTCATATCCAGTACCGCCTTACAATTTCTGAAGAGGGCTGAAATTTCCAAATGTTCTTGGGAGGCACATTGGCTGGAAGGGGGGGAGGGTGCTCCAGAAACCTAGGATTCACATTTACGCCAATCATATTTTAGAAGCAAAGTTCAGGGGGTTAACCTTCAATATCAACAAACAGTCATTCTCGAAAGGAGGGAATTGTCCTTGCTGTCCATGTAAGATCTTACTTTATTACTGTAATGAGCTTTGCCATGACCTTTTCCGGGGGAGGGGAAGGGACTTTTTGATGTATCACTGCATGTCGATGTACGGGAGATTCTATCTAGATAGATGGGTCTTTTGGATGAATGTGTTACAAGATTAGATTCGGAGTTTATACCTCGAGTATTGTATGTATGTACTGACTGGATTTTACCCGACTTGTTATTTCTTTAGAGTAGAAAAATGGGATAAATACTACAAAGACCAAGAGAAAAAAGAAGAAATTGATATAACTATGTAAGCATTGGGTATCACTTAGATAGTAATGTGCCAGTCGATAGCATGTACCTCGTAAGCATTTCATAAAATGGCTGGGGCTGGAGTCGAGTGGAAAACTCGGCCGGACAAAGGATCTTGATTCTGAAGCGAGGAAGGAGATTCGGAGAAAAGCTCTCGGATATTATATCTGACCGTGAGCAGTTGGGAGACGTCTCATTATCGATACTTATTAGGTGCACCCGTACTGGGTATGTGCAATAGGTAGGTACATAGGTACACTTTGTTATTTGCATAAAGGAAAAATGGTATAAGATATATTGCTCCAATTAATGTTTATCTATTTTATCAATCTGCTTCATCAACAAAACACTAATAAACAATTTATTTGTTTATTTGTTTATTCAGTACGGGCTGACCCAGGCTGGCTCGGCTGGCCACTGGCGTTGGCTGGATCTTTCTCATAACTCCGTACTCCGTAGATCTCTCTTTAGGTCCTACGAGCACTGGCACTGGTACTGTCCTCTTTTTTAACCGAATGGATAAAGCCTCACTCACATTGATCATCCAAGTTACCCTTTTTTATAGTTATCCGAAACCAGCTATCGATACTAGATACTAGATACTACATACTACATACTACTCGGGGTTTACACAGAGCGAGATGCATGCATCATGTGAATGGTAAAGAAAGTTAAATCCGTATGACATGAAAAGATGTCCTGCCTGCTATAAGGTATCATTTCATTTATTAGTCTTTTTAATCTTAAGAGAGGGGTATGTAATATGTATGTATCATCATCCGCTGTCAATAATGATCAACGCCCTACCTACACTAACGAACTACAATACTCTCTCATTTCATTTCTCAAGTATCTTTGAGGCGAAGGTGATAGCTGCTTACTTCAGATAAAATTAGCATGCATAAAACTATTATTATTATTATTCCTCCAAAATCCAGCGCGAGGCTTAGACTCTCGCTGAGCAGGATGGCCAACATCCGGACCGGACCATCAAGAAAAATTGGTACAGATGGACGTTTGACATCTGCATCAAATTGGAAGTAAAACGGAAGCGCAGGGACTTTTAGATCCGCGGTGGAGCCAGGGACGAATTTAACCATGGAGCCAAGGTAGTTGATCTTTTGATGGTGGACTCGTGGAGTACTTCGTATGCAGGACGGTACTGCACTCTCCAGAATCAAGATTGACACACACTCATCAAATAGTTTCCCAAAGAAAAATCAACTTTTTAATGAAGATCTTTACAATCTGATCTCTCGTCGCCCAGTATTTTAATCACAAGTAGAATTTAAGTACAAGTAGTCGTCAAATAGTTTCATCTAAATTGGATGGCTGTCGATCGCAACGTAAATGCCGCCCCAGCGCTTACCTAATCCCCAAAATAGAAACACCAAAATTGAAGTGATCCAAAATTCGTCATCCCGTGATGTTCGTGTCTACAAGCATTATCATTTACGCGACACAGACGCGACTTTCAACTCATCGAATTCTGAAAGATTGATTTGCACCTCTAACAAGAAGATTCTCATGGATTGAACAAGGCACTACGTGTTTCCATATCTGCTATACTATTTGAATGTGCAAGGTAGTCGTAGTCATGTCTTCAAAGAAGGGTAAAACTAATGGAAACATCCGCCAATTTTTCAAGCCGACACAACAGGCTTCCACATCGGCATCTACCCCTCTATCCACAACTTCGCGCAACAATGATCAGATAACATCTGCATCTTCACTTTCCACAAAGCCTCAGCCAACAGACCTAGTCTCAAGTGCTACTATGGAATCTATCTCTTCTCCACAATCATCTTCTTCGCCATCTTCTCCACAATCTACCTTCTCGTTATCAACTCCACCGATAAATGTTCCGCAATCCTCTTCCAATATCTCGAATGGCGTTGTTCCATGCTCAGACGACGAAGGTGATTCTGATAGTTCGTTGGAAGATCTAAACGTTATCTTCAAGACAAACCGTACAGCGCCAATTGCGACGTCTTCCGCGCTAGCTCCAGTATTCCCCAGGGCCTCCAGATTTAGAAATGGCCCAAGTTCGAGTGTTAAGCGTTCTCCATTGGCTCTTAGAACAACACAATATAAATTTGATCTGAAACATCTCATGGGAAGTGCGGTGGCCGATAAAGCGCTCGAGGAAAAAGAAAGAAGGTTGAAGGAAATAGCTCAGGAAGATACAGAGATGGGAGATGACGAGCCTACCACATTTAACCATGATATTCATGGCGGCATCCTACGGAAACTAAACGAGGAGAAAGAAGATGGTGGCGGAAAGGATATTCAGAAAGTTTTAAAGGCTGTAAAGAGAACAGAAGCCGGAAATGTCGGCAGTCGATGGTACTTTTTCGAAATTGGAGAAACTCCCCCGATTAAGAGGAACCCATTTCCAACATCTTCGTTGCCGAAAAATTGGAAGAATGATCTTGCCGAGCCTCAGATCAGACATCAAACATTTGTATCGGGGTTCGCGGAGAATATGATTGCGTATCGAAAGAAATTGCCCGATGAGATCATTCAGTGGATTCTAGATGACTTCTGTTTGGAAGAACAGAATGATCTTCGAAATGCCTATTCTTCCGTTTTGGCAATATCACGAAAACAAGTCCGTCGACTAGTTACTCCTGTGGTCATTGGAAAGATGTTCAAATCTATCGGTGCTACGAATACAGCTATCACTCTATCTGAAAAAGTAGGCCCACGTCTAGAGATATCAGATGCATATTCAAATCATCCTTGGCCGAAAGTCCGAGCTTTGATCGTTCTCTTGAATCTACTAGCCAAGTATCTCCAACAAGAAACTAGACTGGAAGTTATATGTATACTCTTGAGACTGGGCATAGATCCAGTCTTACTAGAAAGAGTAGATCTCTTATCACAAGTACAGACAACATTGCACAATCTATGTCTCTGGATCGATTCAGATGTATGGGAAGAATCCGTAAGTCTCCTCTCCAGCTTTCACACTCCAGCCCTAAACAGAAACTAACCATCCCCCAAATAGTCTCAAACAATCTGCGCCACCCTCTTCAACACCGTCGAACTTGCCTCCCTCCGTCTCGGCATAGTAAACTCCATTCCCCCCGTCCGCTCCTCCAAACTCCACGAACTCCGTCGTCGCCTAGCCCTCACATTCTTCTTCTCCTCCCTCCCCATATCCCTCTCTCCACCCCAAAAATCCCTCGCCATCCCCTCCATCATTCAGCGTCTCAACGATCCCCCGTTCCAGATAACTCGTACTACCGATTATTCCGAGCTCTCGGCTCTAATTCTCCTACTAGATATTGGTATTGACGACGGACGAGCCGAGGATCTAGATCTGACAGATGAAAATACAGAGATACAGTTCAATAAAGACGTAGATGAATTGACGGATCGATTTGCTAATTTCGGCATCATGGCTTCGGGTGCCGCTCATATCTCAAAGGTGGAAACAAGTGGGATTTTAAATTTAGTGGAGAGGAGAATAGAACATACGGTGAGGACTAGGCGGAAACCTAAAAATATGTTTTATGAAGAGACGAAGAAATATTATGAACGGGGAGAAACTCTAGAAGGAATGCAAAAGAGCATGTCTAATTTTGTGAAGCAGGCAAAATAGATTGGTGCTGCGCTCAAGATATGGGATTCACGCCTAATAAAGCAGGTCTTAATGATTTGTATATTTCAAGACCAAACACTCTGTATGCAATTTTAATGATATTGATGTTAATGTATCATACACGCTCTACCGACAAAACCTGCAATATTGTATAGTTGGAATGTGCAAAGCTCCTTCGTACCACCTTTCCATCCTTGAGACTCTCGAAACACAACACTCATCATCCACCAATCACCTAATCGTAGAATTTCCGGTTAACGTTAGGACCAAATAATGTGGTTCGAATAGAGGGTAATGCGTTATCCTGGAGCAACTTCAGACGCTCCTCAAAGGTATTGTTGATATCAATCTTGCCTCCTCCGCCAATAATAGACAAACCACCAGCACTATCCAAATGTTAGTCTCCAACTTCATCTCACTCAAAACTGGAGAAACCTACGATTCTTCCGGCAAAGGGTTCTTCTCATCTATACTCGCCGTCACATCCTTCTTCATCTTCTCCTTGTACACCTTCTGCGCCTCCTCAATTGCCTTCTTGATGAGGTCATAATCCTGTTTTCGCCCTCTAACTTGCAATTTTCCCTCGTTCAGCGCATACATTCCCTCCAACAAAAGGTTCTTCAAGATCTCCGTATATTTACCCCTATCATTCGTAGCTTCCTTGAGTTTTCCCTGCGCCTGTTCGAAGATGCCATCGAGAAGTTCCTGACGGGCAGATAGAACCTTGAGACGAGTCTTGTTTGCGACAGTCGACTGAGTGATTTGTTGGGACATGCGGGCGGTCTTGAATTTCTTCTCATATTGCGTGTCGATGGAGGAAGTTTCTTGACGGACGAGCTTAGATTTCTCAATGGCGAATTCCTGTTTGGGTATGTTAGGGGGAGGCAGATGGAAAATGGGTTGTTGGTGGAGACGTATCATTTGCTTTGAGTTCGATTTCGCGGCCCTTTTCCATGGCTTCTTGTTTGATGAACGCCGTCATCTTCTTCAACTCCTGTTTTCACATTGCGTTAATGCCGGTTCTACGAGTGGAAAGCCTCGGGGAGTGGAAGGGAAGCTGTACCTGCGACACCTAGATATAACATTAGCATAGGATTTTGAGGCCGGAGTGATTGTTGGAAATAGCTTCACTTACCTGGTCATCCGAAAGTGCGTGCGACATGATGGGCAATTGGTAGATGTGAAAGTACTGGGAAAGATTGCGTAGGGTCCAGAGATGTGGAAAGGTTGATATTCGTTGGAAACGTTGGAGCTTCAATAGCAACAACAAGGTTGGGGATTAACCACCTGGGATAGCTCCAAGGCCCAGAAGCGATAAGGGAAGCGACGTCCCGATTAATGATCATGTGACACTGTGGCGTTTACGTATTCTCGAAGTATATTTGTTTGAACGGTGAGGAATGTTCCTTGACTCGTGGGAAATGAATAATTCATGCCAAAATTCTTTCTATTTCATCTGAAACTCGTTGTTCGCACTGTCATATTTGCAAAATTGTATTTGTTGTGATTCATTGAGAGCGGTTGTTCTTGGAGTAATTTACATCTCGCGACTCAGGATATCGAACTTGCGATTGTTATACATACCCCCGAGATCTGCTGGACATCGCATATGACTTAATGTTAACTGCGTGTTGGAACAATCACCTTACACAACAAGTTCCTCTCAAACTTAATTATTACACCATATAATCTCTTTCTCGATCAGAGGACGGTACTTTACCATACCAAATGAAGCTTTGCAATACATCGTAATGGGACAGCTCGGCGACCTATCGCCTGGGGGGAGTGTGGCTGTAAGTCAAAGTCTCTCGTCCTGGAAATGAAATAGTTCCAAGATTCGTTGCACAGCTATCTAACTACCACTTTCACATATTGGCAGATTGGGATATTAGTAGGACTTATATCCACGAGTGTCCAAAGTCTCGGTTTAACCCTACAACGCAAATCACATATTCTAGAAGATGAGAAAGGGGCACATCATGTTCGAAGACCGCCGTATAGAAGGAGAAGATGGCAGTTGGGCATGGGAATGTTTATAATATCGAATCTTGTGGGCAGCACGATTCAAATAACAACTTTACCTCTACCTGTATTGTCAACTCTACAAGCCTCAGGTCTGGTCTTCAATTCTATTTGCGCAACTTTGATATTGGGAGAACCATTTACAACATGGTCTTTGGGGGGAACATTATTGGTTTCGACAGGAGCGATTCTGATTGCTATATTTGGGGCTATTCCAGAGCCAGCTCATTCGCTGGATCAACTACTATTACTGCTCGCACGACGGACCTTTGTTATTTGGATGATAATGCAGGCTTTATTGGTTGCAGGAATACTCGCTCTGGCATGGTTTCTGGGGAGAGTTCCAAGAATCTCTGCAAGTCCTCGAATCCGACTCCTTAGAGGATTGGCATATGGATGTATTAGTGGAGTATTGTCAGCCCACTCTTTATTGGTAGCCAAATCAGCAGTCGAACTGTTGGTCCGAACGATCGTTGATCGACACAACCAATTCAATCGATGGCAATCATGGGCTATTCTCTTCGGTTTCGTCTTCCTGGCTCTTACACAACTATACTTCCTACATCGTGGTCTTAAATTAGTATCCACCAGTGTACTATATCCACTGGTATTTTGCATCTATAACATCATAGCTATTCTCGATGGCCTCATATATTTCAAACAAACTGATCGACTACCTGCCCTACACGCAGGATTGATTGCTCTCGGAACGGCCATTCTACTATCGGGCGTCCTAGCTCTCTCTTGGCGTCTCAACGAAGAACAAACTCAACCAGCTGTAGCCCAAAGTGCGCTTGCCCCCGGCCTCGGCCTCGTCGAAGATACTGATAACGACTCTTCTGAATCCTATAACGCAGATGAAGAAGCCGCCATCACAAATGAACATCAAGCTCTCTTAAGCGATGAGCCCATGACTCCAACCACTAAACTCGATACGATTATTGGGGCAACGAGACTTGTAAGGAAAGCAGTTCGTCTTTCGGAAGTAGATGAGATCTGGGGTGAATTAGAAGATGATGATGCGAAATCGACGCCTACACGGCCAAGAGCGAAGAGACCAAACTTTGCATCGACATTCCCTAGAACATCGAATTATGATGAGGAAGCGGGAATGGACTCGCCTATTCCAGATGAAAATACATCACTTCTTCAGCGTGAAGTATCTTTTTATCGTAGGAAAAGAAGACGTTCAACGGGCTTCCCAGGCTTTGCAGCTCGTCCTACACCGAGGAAACGCCGTTCTATGAGATCAGAAAGTCAAGACGCGACAGGTGGGTGGTGGAAGATGAAATGGTGGAGAGATAGAGATGGGAGTAATGGGAAAGGCCCTGGTCCCCCTTCTGGTGGTGATGGGAGTACGGGTACGGGATTGGGAATCGGAGGGATAGAAGGATCGGACGCTGGTCCTTCGGGAACTGGGACGAGTAGTTAGGGATACGTATACCTTATATATGAATATTGTTTTTTTACTTTCTTATTTTATTTTATCTTATCTTTTGAACTTTAGATCTGAAGGTTTCCTTCTATCTAGCCTATTAGGGATGAGTGGATGAGTATGAAAGACTGGGTGTTGGGTTGTTATTGTACATTCATTGACTGATCGTTTGATTGTTTACATGAAGCTTTTCTTTCTACTCTTTTCTGGCTCTGTCTTTGCTTTTCGCTTCTTTCTGCTTTTCCCGTTTTTCTGCGTTTCTGTTGTGGTGGAACGAACCAATGAAAGAATGGATCGATGGCGTTTAGAGGAATCACAAGCATGCTAGGTATATATGGGGGCGCTGGTATTGATATCGATATTGAAGTCTGATGAGGTATGAGGCGTGAGGAGTAATATATAAGATGTAGGCATGGGTATAGGGATGGGTATAGGTATAGGTATAGATATAGGTATAGGGAGTAACGATGAAGGGGTGGGTGCTTGGGCGCTTGGTTAGCTTGTTCGACACTATATTATACTTTATATCTATGTCTATGGCGATGAGGAATCGTGGGGAATGGTAGGGATATGCTGTAAGAAAGGAGGGGGGAAGAAAGAAATGGAAATGAGATAGGGATAGGAAGTGCAGAAGATAGGCTGGAAGAATAGTAGTGCGAAGGGGTAAAGGGGTAGAGAAGAGTAGTTAATCAAAACATAATATAACGTACATAGCATAGCATATATGATAGATAACACATATAATATAAATACAAATATGAATACAAATCTGGAGAATGGTTCTTATTATTCAATCTTTTACATCTTTTTCAATTTTTCTATCTGTTTATTTGTTCAATGGTTTATTTGTTTAGATGTTTGTATATGAATACTACTACCACCCCGACTACTGAGATCATGAATCATGTGTAGGATATAAACATTATGGATATAGGTATATAGAATACAACAGAAGTTTCCGTCTCCCTTCTCTTCCGTTCTATTATCTCTATAAATCCATCATCCATTCATTCATTTATCTATTCTTCTATAACCTACCCACTTATCTATCTCCCTATAATCCATCTCTCTATCCATCTCTCTAATCCATCTCGCTATCCATCTATCCCCCTTATCCATCTATCTATCCATCCAAGCAAACAAGCCAACAACCACAAATAAAAACCCTTCCCTTCCCTCCCTTCCCTTCCTCCCTTCCCTTCCTCACTCTCTCACTCTCTCACCTTTCACTCTTTCACTCTTTCACTCTTTCACTCTCTCACTCTCTCACTCTCCTTCACTCTCTCACTCTCTCACTCTCTCACTCTCCTCACTCTCGTCAACTCTCTCACTTTCTTATTCTCTCACTCTCTCACTCTCTCACTCTCTCATCTCCTCTTCCCCTCCCTCCCTCCCTCCCTCCTCCTCCTCCTCACTATTCCCTCTCTAAAACAGTAAATCTAGATCCACCATCTTATCTACGATTGTACAATTGTACAATTGCAATTACAAGATAATATGTAGTAGATGGTAGATGGTAGATTGTATATCTATCCATTCATATATCCCTATCCTATAACATATCATTTCTCACATCATCTCGATCCCATCACATGACCAGAAGCCAGATCTCTTGACAGATATCTGCAGCCACCACTACAACCTGCAACTGCAAGCCCAAAGCCAGACAGGCAGGCGACATCAACGTACAGCAAAAGCAAAAGCAAAAGCAAAAGCAAAAGCCAAAGCAAAAGCAAAGTAAAAGCAAACCCAACAAGCAAAAAGCAAAAAGCAGAATATATCTATTACATATGCACAGGAAAATGCAGTGCTACCAAGTTCGTCAGAAGCAAGTTTATCTCATTCATTTAATACTTAATATTCTTTCATTCCAAGTAAATAAATCCTTCTTTCATGATACACAGGAAAATCACTGCGCATTTTAGAGAAACTTCTGAACAGACCGATTATATCATTTAGTCCTCGTCCTCCCCAAATGATTTTACTGTACAAGAGAGAGCTGCTACAACGACCTGACCTCGAGCTAGAAATTTGCCTGATTACCTGCACCCACTTCCCACGAACCATCCTTTTGATATCATCCCATCATGAATGAACTATGTTATATTTCAATGCATCATCCACCATCACCATCACCACCAACCGTTCAGACGAGAAGAACAGAAGAAAAAAAGAGGAGGAATTCGCAGAACCAAACATTGGCCGCCCACCTTGCCTGCCAAAGCCCCCGCACCAACCAACCGCCTTGCACGCCCCCTTCCCTTTTACCATATTCAGAATTCCAAATGGTGGCAAGGTTTATTAATCTCATTATCGCAAATCGAGTCTGTTTTGGTGATGTGGGAAATACGTCTGTGCAGATCAAATGAAAGAGAACCCCATATAATAGAAGAAGAAAAAGACACCTTAACACCTTCGGAAACAACATTAGAGAATCGATCCCCGCAAGACACGATTGGTGCAGAACACTCATGCATTATGTGCCGGGTATCAAAGTTTCAAAGACTTATTTGACCCGTTTCGTGTACTGGGACTTCGCGATTGTATTATGATTGATGTGTTTGCGGTTGTGGCATACCAGCTTGTGGAGGCATATAACCTCCTCGTTGTTGATGAGCCATATAATTTTGATAAGCAATAGCTTGTTGCTGTTCCTGCGATAGCCCTTGTACACCAACGCCATAACCTTGATGCATTTGTGGTGCCTGTTGAGGCATTCCAGGTCGACCTTGTTGTTGTGGAGGTAAATGTTGTGGAGTTGGCTCCTCGGGTGATTCGACAGTGTTTCCATCATCAACTCCATTCTCACCATTTCCAGAAGGTTCGGGCGCATTTAGGCAAGCCTAATGAATATATGTTAGCATCGTGTCCTTATTGAAACGAGTGAGGCGGAATTATTCGCATACCTGAATCAAATTCTTTCCTTCCGCCTTTGTGACCAAAGGTTGTAACTTTGGTGTTGTGAAAGTGTATACAAGACCAGTCTCGGACACGACCAAGAGCAAGACTTGGGTCCCAGTTAAGACGGACAATTCGTATGCCTAAAAAGCAATCATATACCATCAGCCATCATTTCGCACACGATAGGCGCGTCGCATTGCATTGACGCGTGTCATTATTGACATGAATAACAAGTGAAAACTAACCTTCTTCATGATACCGGCCTTTCTTTTCGAGAATGTGATGTGGCGACGCGATTTATCTGTAATGAATTTGATCTCGATTTTTCTTCTTTCGCGACCGGGTTTATCATCATCGTCATCGTCGTCATCAGCGGTGGCAGGTCTTGCGCGTTTAATACCGCGAGCATCGGATCCAGCAATTGGGTTTCCGTTGCCGACAGCATGTTCGTCGAGAGCTGTTGGAGAATTCTGGTCGTGTTGATCTGTGATATCGGCCATTTTGATAAGATTTATAAAATAACTTAATTGAGGTAAGGTATGACGAGAATGACTGCTTTGAGGTTGTTGCCGACGACCTTACTGCTTATGGGGAAGTGGTGGAGAGGCTGTTGTCCTGCTTTGTCGCAGAAACCTGGTTAACGAAGACTTGATTAAGAATGGTGGGAATTTTTGGGTTGAGCCGAGTTTATTATCTCAGCCTACGAAAGGAAAAAAAAATAAAAAAATGGATGGGCTGAAATTTAACTGGAAGAGCAAAGGCCTCCGCGCGCCTTTATTTTTCTTGATTGCCGAGCACCGAGAAAAGCGGTAAGGAGGGATGGATGGATAGAGAATGGATGGATGGATTGGATGGATTGGATGGATTGGATGTATGGGATGGGATGGGATGGGATGGGATGGGATGGGGTAGGATAGATAGAATGATTGAATCGAGGAATGAATTTACCTGATGCGGGTGTTTGTAATTGTCTGTAATATAATTGGAAATGGAAGTAAGTGTAATAAGTGGTATTGATCGAAGGTGTACTCCTTAAAGGTGATTGTGATGGATGATGTAAGCGTGTATTGATTGTATTGGTTGGCAATGGTAATTGAATAGTCGTGGTGGTAACTGATACAAAAAAGAAGGATAAGTATTAGTACCGTACATAGAAATTATTTACTCGATCCGATCAATTTCCAGTGAATCATGGGATTTGATTCGATCAAAACTGGACGTCGAAGGGGGGAGTTTGGGGAGAATGTTCCAGGTTAAGATGTGGTATGGTGGTATGGTGGTATGGTACGGTTATGATACAGTACGCGGGACGTACGGCTTGACGGTTGCGGAAGTTGGGGGTGGTGCTTGGATGCGGATTTTGATGTGGTGCCTGGTTGCTTTTTCTTTTGGGTACGTACCTGTTTTTTGAAGGGGGACCTGTCTCTTGAAAGGGGGGCTCTGGCGAGTTCGATGTTTCGTTCCGTAGTAGTAAGAATAATAAAGTCGTAGTGGTGATTGTGGTTGTGATTGTGATTGTGGTCGGAGTGGTGGTTGTGTGAAGCTGTAGCTGTATCTGTAGCTGTAGCTGTCGTCGTAGTAATAGGTAATGGTAATAGCTGTACCGTCGGGACTCTAGAACTATTTCTTGTGGTTCGTTCCTGAGAAGGAGACTTTGGGCAAAAGTAACTGTAAAAAGAAGACGGGGGGAATTAATAGATTGATCAGGCAAAATCGCTGCAGCGTGAATGCAGGCAGTGGGAATGCGGGATGAATGAAAAGAGAATAGATTGATTCAAGAAAGCACAGGCGGATTAAACAATTAAACAGTTTGTTCGGTAGGGTCCTGTGCTGATACTGGCACTGGCACTGGTAGTCTGGTACTGAACTGTGATGTACGATTCGATGTATCTGTATGTAAACTTCTTTGGGTAAGGAGGAGATACACACTTACACACAAGATACTTCCGTATACACAACCGACAAGTTAGAGAGTCGAAAAAAGATGGGACACTGGGGGAGGCTGGGGTTGTGGTTGTATGAAGTGAAGTCAAGACTGATGGATTAAGTAAAGTCAGAAAAATGTGCTCGGTCGGGAAAGTGTGCAGTGCAGCCAGTAGTTCCGTTGTAGCCAAAGTGGTTGGTCGATTGGTCCCTTAGTCGAAGAAAGGTGGGTCACAATGTCTTGTACTGCAGACTATTGTATGCGGGAAGGAACGGTGGGGGGGGAATTTGTGAACTTTGTGTAAGACTGTAATAATAAGTGGGAGAGTGGAGAGTGGAGAGTGGCTAATCTGTGGTGTGATTGACATAGGAATTGTTGTAGAGATACACCAATCAAGTGCTGGAATCGTTGCAAGTGGAATGGGTCTGAAATGAAATTATCTGTGCATGTCGATTCGATTCAATCGCATACTAGAATATAACTGGTTAAGATGAGTTAGTTGAGTTCCATAGATTCCTGAATTAACCCTTTTTCCCAAAATTGCACAGACGATGAGATTTTAAAAATGGTTCTAAAGAAATCCACGTCGATGTCGAATTCGATAGTATGCTATCACCCAATTAAATGAAATGATGGAAATTGATATAATATCGAAAACTCAAAATTATTGATGGGCAATGTCCATCAACCACTTTGGTGAGTAGGGACAATCTCAAGGGACAACCTTCCAAAGTTCACTCTTTCATTAACTCAGTCCCCAATCTTTGACTCGGCTCTGGGTAAGCTTTTAGTGATGGGATCTATTGAAAAGCACTTGCAAGCATCGTGGAGCATCAACCATTCATAATCCCTACGTTACTCAAGGTAAACGAGATGGGCAAGGGACCTTTCAGCGAGGAAAGTGGCGTGCACCGGTATCAAACCCGGGAGCTTCTGCATCCCTGAAATTCTAATTTGAAGGTGGTGGTGGTGGGTGTGCTGTACGTGCTCGAATGAAGTGGATGATAGATGATGGATGGGTACGTCGTGGATTGATGGGGGGTGATTGAGTGAGTGACAGTCAGGGACTCGAACTCATTCATGTCATCAGTGGTGAGAGGAAGTAATTCTGGTCTCCTCTGCAATTCCAACTCGTACCATTTGAGATAACGATCGGAATTTTAATTTTGTGCTTTGAAGCAACTTTACTTCCAAGTGTCCGTAACAATGAAATTTTATATATGTGGCTCATGACCAATTCTCTCAATTGATCAAATTTCCAATCTGTACACACACAGTACACTCGAGTTCGAGTTTCAATCATCACCTCCAAGTAGATTGACTCGAGAAGGATTGGAAATCTCTTGGCAAATGGGGTAAGTCTGCGACAAGCATGAATCCTGCCCTTGTCTAGAATGGTTTGAGATAAGGTAATTCGGCCTATTGGCTAGAGTTCTCCCTGATCGTTCAATCATTGACTCAACAATAGATTGTATGGGAGATGGCCATGGAAATGTCTTGACTTGTGTGCTCTCTCCTGAACAAATGCAGAAATCGTTGCAGTAGTGTGGGAAACAGATAAATTGTGACCCGTAATCATTTCCCGAGCTGTTGGTAGTGTGCACTGTGCAGTGTGCAGTTGTATAGGAAAACATGGTAGTGTGGGGAGGAGGGTTGAAGATCAGTGCGACAGTGTGTTGAAAGTTGGTAAATGGTAAAGTGAGAAACTTTGAAACTTTGAAACGTGAAACTTTGACGATAGAGATGAAGAGGCGGATTGAGAGTGTGGGTATTGGAGGACAAATAGTAGGAGAGGGTGGAAAACGTGAAGCAAAGGAAGTGAGTGAGAGCGTTTGCGAGCGAGTGAGTGAGGGAATGTGTGAGCGTGGGAGTAGGGGTGGATAGATAATAATAATATGGCCAAACAAGAACAAGACCAATTTCGTCTGAAGTTAAGAACATTTATATTCCAACATACCTTACCGAAAGGGTATCTTTTGACACCTCTTCTGGGTAGCTACGGCGAAAATCAGAAGTAAAGAGGTTACTGTCGATGTTTGGGTGTGGTGACTTGTGTTACTTTGGGATAGTGCAGGGATTTAAGGACTTGGTCAAGAAATGCGTCTTGTTGGGGAGACAATTGAATAATGAATACTAAGTAGAATCAAAACCTTTTGAGGTCAAGGGTTAAAGAACAAATCTGAAAAGGGGAAGGGAAGTGTGACTCTTTTTAAACCTTTGAAGAGCATAAGGAGACGTTATTCATCTTTGGTATCAGTACCTAGTGGTAGTATGGATTTGCGTGTGTGTGTATGTGTGTGTGTGTCACTGATGAGGAAGCTATCTTTGAATTGAGGAGAAAAGGAAGGGGAACATCATTTTCATTGGATGATGAATCGCCCTCCCTATACATGGGTGACTTGACTATATAGAATTGTTCACTCGATTGATACCTCGGGGACACTACCGGTGTGAAGATTCAACAGATGTAACTACCGGTATTAAACATGTATCTAAGAAACTCTGAAGATCCTTTCAATAAGGAACAAAGCTCTTGTTGGATCGAGTCGATATTGAAAAATGGTTCAAAACAGAATCAGAATGCATCGCCTAGGTATGCATCATACACTTCTAGATGTGCTGAAGGTGTGAGTATACGAGATGGATATGATGGATATCGGAAATGAACAGAAATGAACAGAAATGAAAGGAGAACTACAAACTAAAGTAACTGACCTTATCAAATATGGGGATAAGTACCTCTTGGCATTTGCTCATACTTCTGGCCTTTGAAAGTTCCCAATGTTTGTGTTTCCCATGTATAACTCACTCACGACCAAATGTGAAGTCTGGGTCTACCTAACAGCAGCCAGCCTATGTGCTACATTTACAGTAATACAAGCACCAGTAATAACTACCATCCAGTTCCGTTGACGTTTACCCAGAACGACGGGCATCTCCAGATCTTAGATTTCTGCACATACCCGTGCATTGGATCTACCTGTATGATCTATGATCTATGATCTACCCGCATGTATAACCATCTTTTGTCACATGACAACCCTGCATTTGAAAAGTAATTCCAAGTCTATCTTGATTATCGATCGCTTCAATCGAGCGCAGCGAGGAAAGGGGGGTTTGGGGGCTGGCCCCCTTAGATATATATATAGATAGATATATATATAGATAGATATATATATAGATAGATATATATATAGATAGATATATATATAGATATACTTTAGGACCAAGAAAAAGGGTCGATATGAAGTCTTTCAAATTGGATCTTAGAACAATCAAGCTTTTTACAGAAAAGACTTTTCTGTAGTTGGACAGACTGTCAGTTCGTTTGTGAATAGATGGGGCATTTTCAAGCCTCACCCGTTATCAATAAATAATACCCTTTCAGTTAACTACGGGTATTGTTGAACCAAACTTGAAGCGGATGATACTCCGTTGGACGAGCTCTCAAGCTTTCCTGTTCCTGCCTTAAGTTTTCTCAGTACATTTTTACACTCCGAACCCTTGGAGAAGATCATGAATAACTTACAAGTTACAAGCCAGCAAGCACAAGCGCAAGCAATGATCAATCAAGCACAAGCCTCCAACCGCTTTCTCTCTCTCTCTTCCTCGTGCTCGTGCTCGTGCCCGTGAGTCGTCAGTCATCACCAAAATATCAACTGTATATCTCTCATATATCATATATCCATGCATGACATAATCAATGCCTCTCGCGATATCATTATTGACCCATTTCACATTCCCAACTCCCAATTCCCTCAAAGTATCAAGATTTATTCAACCAATAGATTATCATCACATACCTGGGAAGTTACAAAATTCGCAATCCTCTATCGTCATTGGCTCGATATGAAATTTGTTACTTCTCCTCCCATCATGAGGCAAAATTCGAAACGCCAATTGTAGAGAAGAGAAACCCCCAAATCCTTGAACCCCTCGTTTTCAAGCACCGCCATTACAACAACACTCAAGATCTTACCACGCCGTCCTTTTACCGCAGTCACACAGTCACACTGCTGTTACAATCTTCTAGAATGATACGAATGGCACCTATTGCACGGCCCATTTCACGAAGCCTGAAGCAATGTGTGCAAATTTCTCACGATATGAATGGGTATTGCTGGTAAGGGAAGTGTTTCTGTTTCTGTTCTATCTTAGGACGGTAAGATCATACCACCATTGAGGCAATACTAACGATTACCTTCCGTTTTTACCTCTTACCGTGGTGGTTTTCTGTAGTAGGTGGTTCTTCATTTCTTTCCTGTCGCAAGAAAGGTTCTCACACTATGGTGGCTTATTCTTCTCTTTCCATTTGATTGTCTATCTTTTTCTTCATTTCACCTCTATCTTTTTCAACGTCTGCCAAGCAAAGCTCAGTGCATTGATTGCTTGACTTCTCTTCATTCTTCGTCTTGTTCATTCGTTGCAACTACGAACATAGTCCAATCAGTGGTCTGTTTACACAAATTTAGACGCCGGACGTCCTTTTACTAAGACAAGACAACCTTCACTTCTTTCATTCATTTATACTTCTTTAATATCGAATTTAACATCGAGTTGAGTATAGCTGGTACTATTCAACAGGACAAGATGGCGGATAAAATTCTTTTGACATATGTTGTTCTGGACATACTCTTTGTAGGTTCAGGTGCATTATTGCTTGGATTTGCCTTGACGACGAAGACTGGTACTTCGCAGGCTCCTACTATTGCGAGTGTAGCTACAGATTTGTTGTTGATGGGTACACCTTTGAATGGTCAGTTTTCACATCTGCTCCTTATAATGTTGATCTGGGAAAGAAGTATAGCAATGAGCTAACATCACTCGTACCCTATAGCCGCCATTGGAAATGCAATCTTAATCTTCTTCTCCTTCCTCCTCTCAATTCCCGCCATGCTCCTCAGCACCACTCGCGGCTGGCTCAAAGTTCATGGATTCATGGTCGTTGTCTGTGGTCTCTTCACTCTCATCATCGGTCTCGATATTTGGTTCGGTACACTAGAATCGAAAGAATCTCTTCTCGATACATGGACTGCCCAATCTACGACGACGCAAAGTCTCTTGCAGGAACAATTGAGCTGTTGTGGATATTTCAATAGTACGAGTGCGCCACCTTTCGTAATCGATAGTACATGTCCTAATGCTATTATTGCGGCTACAATGCCGGGATGCTCAGCGGCATTTGTTAAGTTGGATGGATTATTCTTGGATGTTATCTTTACGGCGGCTTTTGGAATTGTGGGCTTGGATGCTGCGCTTATTTTTGGTATTGCAATGCTTAATAAGGATCGTAAGGAGAGGGAAAGATATAGATTTATTGATGAGAAGAATGGGACGGGATCTTTTTAGGTTATAAGCGAGGGTGGGTGATTGGAATGGTGGCTAGATGGATTTATGGTGTTGGGTTCGCGAGATGGGATGGTCTAAGGTGTTGAGGTATAGGGGAGTTGTGGTGAGGTTTTGGTGGATGGAGGGGTACGGGGAATGGGGGATGAAGGGGGTATGCTGTGTTGCAGGGAAGTATGGTCGTGAGGAGGGGAATGGACGAGATTGTTAACAGGGAGGGAGAGGGGAATTCCATGATATGGCAAATAAGTTGCAATAGAAGGATGATACGATTCTATGGAAATGAAAAGGAGCCGGGGCAGGAGCAGGAGCAGCATAAAACAAGTGAAGCTGAATGGAACAGGAAATGCAATTACTCATTTGGGGAAGTTTCATATTTCACCATGAATAATCCAATGTAATCACAACGCTTCATTTTATACTTTGATGTCTTGTTGGTTGTTTTTTGAGTTGGTTCTTTTGTAGCTTATATTTTATGTGTTTAATGGTTTCAGATTTTTGGGATAGATGAGTTTGGGGGTTTGGTTTGTTGTCTTGTCTTGTATTTTTTGAGGGGATAGAGGGAGGGAGGTTGGATCGAGGTGGGTTAGATAAATAGCTAGATAGTTATATTGTGTTGCGTCGTATGGTGTTATAGATAGTTGCTCTTTTTAATGAAATTATTTGGATCTGGATGTGGATATGTAATGGTTTGGATGTGAATGATGGGGATTGGAAGAGTGGTATTGGGTGATGGTGTGATGGTATATAATGTGGTGTATAAGATGTAGAGATGTAGAGATGTAGATTATAGATTCTGTTGAAGAGATGGGAGGATGAGAGGATGAAGTTTAATAGCTATTTTGATGTATATGGAAAAAGGGGGGATTGATATTGAGGGGTTATATAGAGGGATTATATGGAGGATTATAGAGAGGGATTATAGGAAGGGATTATATAAAGAGATTATATAAAGAGGGTTTTATATAGAGGGATTATATGAAGGATTGATATCGATGGTTTGTATGAAGGGTCTTTAGGAAGGATTATATAGAGGGATTATATAGAGGGTCAAATGATTGAGATTTTGAATGGGAAGATTGGGATTTGGGTTGGATGATGGATGGTGCATGATTGATGATTGATGGTGGATGGTGCATGATAGAATGATAGAATGATGCTCGGTGCTTGGTGCTTGGTGTTTGATGGAAGATATGGGAGATATGGGATTGGCATTTGGGGACTAGGGTTTTGGGAGTAGAGGAAGGGGATAGTGAGTTGAGGGAGTGAGATAGGGTAGAGAGATAGAAGTAGAGTAGAGGGATAAGATGAAGAGAGGGGTGTGAAGAGATAGAGTGAAAAGATAAAGTGAAGAGATAGGGTAAAGAGGTGTGGTTGAAGGGATAGAGGTGAAAAGAGAGGTGTGAAGAGAGGGGGTGGTGAGAGGGAGAGTTGGTATTTGTATTTGTAGTTAATCGGTTAGGGGAATATCGAGAGTTTTGAAGAGTTTTGAGGAGTTGGACTTGTGAGTTTTGAGAGATGTTGGAATGAGGATCTGAATAGAATGTAATATAATATTTTGGGAGCTTGATCGGAGGTAGGGGTAGGGTGATAAGATGATAGGCTGGGAATATAGAGAATAGTGAGGAGCATGAGAGTGGAAAGGGGTGTTATGTAAAAGGTATGATGTCTATAAAAGCATGAGCTTGGGTTTAAGGATTAAGTAAGTATTAAGTAAGTGATAGGTGGGTGAATAGCGATCTGATAGGATAGGAGGGTGAGCAAGAGGGGATTAGAAGAGCATAAATAAATCAATAGATTGGATTGGGGAAACGGGAAGAGGAAAGAGGAAACTAGTACGGGAGAGTGAAAATTCGAAATAGAGAGTCAGAGGGTCGATAGATATTGAGATACGTAGAGAGAAATTCAAAAGATGTAGAGTGTATATGTTCTTGAAAATGTGTTTTGACCTGTGGATTTAGAAGTGTGGGAAGGGAGGAAAGAGGAGAGGTGGGCTAGTGATGATGTTGGATGTTTGTATCTACATCTTTACAGATGCCTACACGAGAGAATAGGTAATTTCATTTCAACTGAGTTGATTTGCTCTCAGATTTCATGACTTTATTAGTCTCTTCTTGTGGTGTTTGTATTTGTAGTGATTTGAAGGAAAGAAAAAGATGGAGAAGAAGTGACTGATATGAGGGAGTGAAAGAAAGGGAAAGGAAGGAAAAGGGGAGGGAGGTGGAAAGAAAGTTATAGTATGTGAATAAAAGGTAGAGATAATA